AAGGCTGTCTGAACTGGAACCCTGGCCTGGACGCTTCCTAGCGGTGTGACCTTGAGCACACTTAACCTTTCTGTGACGTCATTCCCTCCTCTGTAACATGTGCATGGGAACAGCAATGTCCCAGAGAGGTGAGGAGCCACTGAGCGGATGTGTGTCAATGCAGCTGGCTCAGGGCGAGCACGAAACGGTGGCAGCTGTTAGAGTAGCTTCGCCCAGATCCTTCAGGAGGCACCTTCCCCACACTGCCCACCCACACGGAGGCCTGCCCTGCCCTCCCCTGCCCTGCCCTGCCCTGCCCTCCCCTACCCTCCTGTCTTCTGCCCCAGAGCGTCCCCGGTACTCACTCCACTTCCTCCAGGCGGGGGCCTTCCTGGAGCTGGGCTATGAGCACCTCCACGTCCTTGACAGTGAGCCGGCACTTTTGCAGCCTGGTGGGGGGCGGAGGGGGCAGAGGGGTTCAGGGCCAGAAGCTGCACGATGCCTCCTCTAGCTCCTGGCCCCGCTGCGAGGCACGGGACCTGGGGGCACCAGGAGGCTGACAGACCTGGTGCTGAATCCTGGCCCTCCTTCTCAGTCACTGGGTAATCTTGGACAGGGCCCTTAGGCTGTCTGAGACTCAATGTTCTCCTCTGTCAAATGGGAACAATAATGTGGACCTTTTCAAAAGAATCACAATGAGCCGAAACCGGTTTGGCTCAGTGGATAGAGCGTCAGCCTGCAGACTGAAGGGTCCCGGGTTCGATTCCAGTCAAGGGCGTGTACCTTGGTTGCAGGCACATTCTCAGTAGGGGTATGCAAGAGGCAGCTGATCAATGATTCTCTCTCATCAATGTTTCTAACTCTATCCCTCTCTCTTTTTCTCTGTGAAACAATTAATAAAATATATATTTTTTAAAAAGAATAACCGTGAGGTAATGGGTATACAATACCACAGTGCTGTGTGCTGGGCACTGTGGTATTGTATACCCATTACCTCGTTGAATTACAGCTACTGCTGCTGTTGTTAGGCCAGATGCTCCTTGTTCAGGCCGGGATGGGTGATTCCTGTCCTTTCCCTGCCCCAGGTCTGCTTTTCCCCTTCTCCCTCCCCGCCCCTGGGAAGGCACCCTCCGCCCACATCACAGCCCTCCTCTGCAGGCCAGGGACCCCACCGAGGTACCTGAGGGCCAGGCTTCTGGGCTCAGCCTCCTTCCGGCCGGCATTTCCCCGTGGGTCTGGGGATCTGGCAAGAACAAGTCTGACATTGGCCTGGGCTCTGCTCTTGGCTTCTAGGGACTGAAGACTCCTCAGCATGACCCGCAGCGACTGAGCAGCAAAGCCGGCTGCTTGCAGGTGCTCGCGGCACTACTCGGCGTAGCAGCAGGAGCAAGTGGTTTGGAGTCAAACGAAGTCTGTACACCAATTCTGACTCTGCCCGACACAGCCGTGCGGCCTCAGGCACGTCCCACCACCCCTCAGAGCCTCCGTTTTCTCTTTTCTGACATGAAATGACAATACCTGACGTACAGAGCGACTGAAGGACCGGGTGGGGCGACCTGTGATCACGTGCCCACCACAGGCACCAAAGAGAAGCTGGGCAAAAAGCAGCCGCAGTTGTTCGAGATGCCATGGTCTCCACGGGCAGATAGATGTCCCACCCACGGGTCAGGCCAGCGACACGGGCCACACGGGAGCCAGGCTGTGGAAAGCCTCAGCACCTCCAGGTCCCTCCACTGGGCCGGGGGTGGGCTGGGCCTGGACAGACCTGAGACGGCGTGAGCCAGGTTTACACGGACTTGGAGATCAGTGCCATCCACAGACCTTCCCGGGATGATGGGAAGGTTTTGTATCTGGGCTCCTCGTTGTGGGACCCCTTGGCCTCTTATGGCTGATGTGACTGATGACATGAAATGCCCACTTCACTTCATTTTAATGAATATGAGCTTGAATAGCCACATGTGGCTGGTGGCTACCGTATTGGGTACCCCCTCTCCAGGCAGTCAGGGGGATGGGGGAAAGGATAGTGGTCCTACTGAGTCCCTGCATGGCTGAGGGGGGTGAGGCTCAGAGTCAGGAAAGGACTTGCTCAGGGACAACGTCATCTGCTTCGGAGTCTCGCCGGGAGTGGGCGGGGAAGCACCGCTGGAATGTTCTTTCTCAGAAAGGCAACTTCCCTTCCTCTGGCCACCCGGGACAGGCCAAGCTGGGACCCATGCACAGCTGGAACAGCCAGCACTTGAGTGCCAACTGGATGCCAGCCGGGTTCAAAGCAGTAATGTATCAATTGTTTAATTCTCAGGACAGCCGTACGATGTAGGCACCGTAATTGCCTTCCCTTCTTATTTAGTTTTTATGTTTTGCAGTTAGGAGACGTTCCCCCATGTAGTAACGCTGTCTAACAGTCTCTTCGTGTCTCCCCCACTCTCACCCCCACCCCAGGGGGCTGGCTCCCTCTGGACCTCTGAGGATGCTCCCTCCCCCCAGCAGCCAGATGTGGTCGGGAGAGGCCAGCGGAAGCGGAAGTCCTTTGCCAATTTCTCAGGGCAGCAGCAGCAGGAAGAACCCCCACGCCCCAGCTCTCCCTCAGCACCCTTGGCCTCCTTTCCCATGACTGCCTGAGTCCAGACCAGCCCCCCCTCCCAACCCCCCTGATTTCTTACCCAGGTGGCTTCTCTGCCGCTGTCTCCGGGGTCGGGGAGAGAAGGATGATGAGGTCCGCCTCCCTGCAGGGCCAGACACCAAGCCGTGAAACCCGTGGGCCGGAAACAGGCACTTCGCTCCCTACCTGCGCACCCCATGCTGTCCCAACCCGCCAGAGAAAGCGGGTTTTGTGATGGACCCTCACCACACTGGCTAAGGCGCTCTGAATCAGACAGGTCAAATTGTGACAATGCATCGCTTGACGAACCCAGAATGTTTCGAAAAGCCAGGAAGACCACTTTTACGAGCGAGATCATAAAAATCAGGAACGCAGAGATTTTTATGGGAGCTCCTGAGTTTTAGGATTCAGAGGCGTTAACACTTAGCCTGCCCGTCATCCAAACGGGCAGCGCTGGTTCAGCACCACGGAGAGCGACACAAGGGGGCGGGGCGCCTTCTTCCGAGCTTTGCCTACATTTCCTAGATTCCCCTCCCCCGCTTTTGTGGATTCATTCCTTCATCCCTCTGTTGGTCCGTCCATCCCTCTTTCCATTCATTCCCGACTTGTTGAGTACCAGGTACCAGGCCTGCGCAAGGCACTGGGCACACTGACGTGAGTAAAACGGACTCAAGTGTGGGCATCTTACACACCAGGGGCTTCCTCTTTCCCCTATTCCCTCCTCTTTTCTCAAGACCCCGAGGGCCAGGCTCCCCTGCCTTCTGCTCACCTGACTTGCAGCGTCCCGATAGTCGGGCATGTGACTGCCATCTTGTTCAAGCTGAGCAGGGTTGCCATGGAGACCTTGTTGTGGCTCAGGCTGCGTGCGTGATTGAGGCAAAAGTGTCAGGAGTGAATCCCCTGTCTCATGGGCCCCAGACCTTCGCTCTCTAAGGTCAGAGGGCGACTCAGGCAGGTGGGAAGGCCGCTTACTCAAGCTTCCGGAGCCTCGGCAGGCGAGGGAGGACCTCCATGATGTTCAGCAGCTCCTCGTGCTTGAGCTGATTGTCCTGAAAGCTGCAGGGAGACCACGTCCCTCAGCCCTGGAGTGGGGGCCCCTCGACGCTCCAGTGGGCAAGGGACAGGCATGGCCACCCTCATGGGGGAGACACCATATACGGTCCCAGAAGGAGTGGGTAACCTGCTCCACGGTATTCAATAGGTCCAGCTGGGAGGAAAGGCCCTCTGCTGGCCTCGATGCTGTCCCCATTCAGTCCCTCTGGGGAGTTCCTGCCTGGTGGCCCCAGGGACCCAGCGGGTGGACTATGAAGGCTTCCTGAGGTGGGATGAGGAGACCCAGCTCCCTGTTCTCAGGAAAATGTCTGGGATGTGCCTGAAGTTCAAGTTCATCAGGGCCTCTTGCCTCCCAGGTGATGAGTGGCCGAGGCTGGGATGCAGGAAGTGCCGCTTCCGGCCTCAGCTCTGGCCCTGACTCACCAGAGCCCTGACCTCACATCCCTCTCCTATCAAATGGGACCCACAGCCCAGTCCTGCCTGGGTTCCTAGCTGGAGGGGCCGAAGAAGGGAAGAGTTCGCGGTGCCTGTGTGTGTGACCAGTCTGGCCAGGAAACATGTTTGGAAGTGCTGAACTTGTTGACATTGGCTTCTCTAGTTATTGAGGGTGACCTCGATCTTTTCTCCCATCAGGCACAGCGAGCATGCATGGAGACACCCCGCAGAGGGGGGACAGAGCAGAGCTGTGGTCCAGCTGATGCACCTGCTGGGATGACGGGTGCCTTTTCTAAATCTCACAAAGGTGCCAGGTGGCAGCGGGCCCGCCAGCGAGCTGCCGAGGAGGCGCCCTGGCCCCACCCTTCTCCAGCCACTCATCACGGACACAGGTAGGAGGATACATGTAGATCTAAGTGTGCATGTGTAGTGTGCGGCACATATGCACGCCTTGGAATGGGCATGTATGTGGGGCATGTACTTAAGTGAGCAGACAAGTGCACACGTGTGTGTTTCATGCATTTGTGCATGACTGTGAAGGTGTGCATATGATTTGTGCATTTATGTATACCCACAGTGCCCACCACCAGCCTATATACTGCCATCCCCCGGTCAGGGTCACAGAGAGAGGGAAGGGACCCTCAAAAATCAACCTCCTTCAAAATGGCCCAAAATATTGGATGAGAGAAGCACTTGTCTGGGGTCTTTAGGAGCCTTGGATTTGGATCCAGCCCCGCCCAGATAGTAGACGGATGCCGCCCCGCTCTGAGCCTCATGGAAAACTACCCGTCAGGTGCCACGGAACATGCAAGCCCTGGGCATGGCCTCTTCCCTTGGCGGGTGGACCCTCCTGGAAATCACTCACCTGACCTCTTCCAGGTGTGGGCACAGGGGCAAAGCCTGCACCAGCTGGTAGATGCCTCGGGCAGTGATCTTACTTCCTGCTAACCTACAGGGCAAGCAAAGATGGACGGGAGAAGTGGGGACGGGAGGGGCTAGGCCCCTATCTACCACAACCAGAGGTGATCCAACGGACCCCAGAGGCCCCGGTGAGGCCCGGAGCTCCTGACCGTGTCACAGGCTAAGGGACCGGTTGAGGGGAGGGAGGAGAGTTCCAGCATCCCCGACGGAGGACCCCTCTCGGTTCTGAGTCCCGGCTCACCCCAGCTTCTTCAGGCTCCCCATTGTCGGCAAGCTCCTGGAGAGGGCTTCTGCGAAGGCGTCCCCACACTTCCTGCTCTTAAAGCTGCCACAGGAAGAGGCAAGGTGGCAGGGAATCAAGGCTGGGCGGGGCTTAGAGGTCATGCCCACCCCTCCTCCGAATGAATACAGTAACATTAATAGTAGCTGTTGCCCTAGAAAGTTTGGCTCAGTGGATAGGGCATCGGCCTGTGGACCCAAGGATCCCCGGTTTGATTCTGGTCAAGGGCACATACCTCGGTTGTAGGCTCCTCCCTGGCCCTGGCCCTGGCCCAGACCCTGGTCAGGGCTCATGCAGGAGGCAACCAATCGATGTGTTTCTCTCACTTTGATGTTTCTCTCTTCTTTCCCTCTCTTTTCTCCTCTCCCTAAAAATCAATGGAAAAGTATTCTTTGGTGAGGATTAATGGGGAAAAACTGTAGTAATTGTTATTGCTGTTGTTGCAATGGTTGTAGTGGTAACAAATACATAATATGGCAGAGACTGCTAACTGTCCACTGGAACCCATCCTCCATGCGGGCCTATGGAGCTATGCCTAGGAAGATGGTTTGTCAGCCGGAGATGGCATTTCCCAGCCTCCCTTGCAGCTCAGTGTGGCCATGTGACTATGTTCTCACACTGGGATGTGACTGTGAGAACATAGTCACATGGCCACACTAAGCTGCAAGGGAGGCTGGGAAATGCCATCTGGGAGATGCCATCTGGGAGATGTGCCCTATATCCAGGAATGAGCTTGACCACACGGACTGTGTCTAATCCATGACCTCTCCTTTCCTCCCCCCAAGCCAGAGCACAGATGTGCCCCTGACTCAGCTTTGACCTTGCAGATCAACATGCCCGAGGAGACGATGGAGCAGGAATGGGAGGAACCAGGTCCCTGTGCGACCATGTGGAGCTGAGCAATCCCACTGACCCTGGACTCTGAGCGAAAGAAAACGCTGCAGCATTGAACCCACTCCTTTTTGGGAAGGGTGGGGTGAGGGGATATTCATTATTGCAGCTTGGCCTTTTCTCTAGCTACTACACACATGGAGCCCGTGGCTGTGTGCCGGGAGCTGTGCTAAGAAGAGTTTTTTCATGCATCATCTCACCTCCCAGGAGGCAGGTTTTATTACTGAGTCACATGAGGGACCGAGAATCTCAGGCTGAGAGGTTAAATAATACAGAAGTCACGGAGCCTTGGGATCAGCGGCTCCAGCCCATACCTGGGAGAGGGAGACTGGCCATCCCGATCCCACAACCAGAGGTGATCCAACGGACCCCAGAGGCCCTGGTGAGGCCCGGAGCTCCTGACCGTGTCACAGGCTAAGGGACCGGAAGGGCCCGCCCTCCCTGGTGCCCACGATTCCTCCCCAGCCTCCCGCAGCGGCTCTGCCAGCGTGGACGCCTCCACGTGCCCAAACGTCCAGCTCCTCGCACGCCCCTTCCTCACCTGAGGCTCTCCACCTGCCCACAGCCGGCCAGGGCCTCGGGGCAGCGGGGCTCCAGCGGGCAGCCCTCAAACTCCAGGTGGATGGGGGCCTCCCGGTGCCCCAGGACGTTGGTCAGGGCGGCCAGGTCGGCGTAGCTCAGCAGGAAGTTATGGAAGGACAGCTGGCCGGGGAAGCTCCGGGCCACCAGGCTGGCCAGCTCGGGCTCCTGCGTCTCGCCCACACAGTGGCACAGCTCCACCACCTTCGGCCCCGTGTGCCTGCGCGCGGCCAGCCTCCTCAGCGCCTGAAGGACCGTGGCCTGCTTGGCGCGCACCCACCCCTCGCCCTGCTCCGCCAGCTGCGCGAGGAAGGGACGGCAGGCGGGGGATGCCAGGCCCGCCAGGAAGGCGGGGAGGTGGTCCCAGAGGCCCAGCTTGGCTTTGGTCCGCAGCACCCAGCGGGAATGGAGGGTGACGTGGCGGGCGAGCACGTCGCCGTCCACCGTGGGACTGGCCATGAGGTGCAGGGCAGCCAGGAACTCCTGCAGGCTGAGGTGGGTGAAGGCGTAGCCCGTCTCCCGCTGCCCGGGGCCCGTGCAGGCGCCGAAGGAGGTCAGCAGGCCCAGGGCGGCCCCGAGGGCCATCATGGTGGGAGGGATGTCCGCGGCAGAGAAGATGACCTTCCCGGCCTCCAGGCCCCCCAGGGCCACCTTTCCCAGGCCCCTCAGGGTCTCGGCGGTCCGGTGCCCGCGGGGGCTGAGGGCGAGCACCATCTGCACGTAGGTCTGAGTCACGGTGGGCAGGAGGGCCACCGACTGACCCGGAGACATGCCCGGGAGCAGGTGGCGGAGGCAGAGGCAGGCGACGCGGCACAGGGCGGGCACCGCGCACATGCTCCGGAGGCGCCCGTTGGCTCGAAGCTCCGCCAGGGCCGCCTCCCGGGCCGGCCGGTCGCCGAAGCAGCGGCCCACGTACTCCTCCACCCGCGGCCCGTCGAAGCCCCACAGGTGGACGGTGGCGGCCTCGGCGGGCAGGCAGTCTGGCAGCTTCCCCGGCCGGGAGGTGGCCAGGACCCTGCAGCCGGGCAGGAGGGCCCCCCGGCACAGGCCGGAGAAGAGGGCGAGGGCCGGGCCGGGCGCCCCGGGGCCGGGCTGGGGGTGGAGGGCCTCGTCCAGCCCGTCGAAGACCAGCAGGACCCGCCTGGCGCTCCACTCCAGGAACTGCAGGACGGCGTCGGGATCCTCTTCGGGGCGGAGGCCCAGCTGGAAGAGGAGCTGGGGCAGCGTCGGGGCCTCGGCCAGCAGGTTGAGCTGGCGGAACTCGAACAGGAACAGGGCCAGGAAGCGGTCCAGCTGGCCGGTGGCCCACCTCTGGCACAGCCAGCGGGCCAGCGTGGTCTTGCCCATGCCCGCCTTTCCCAGCAGCACCATCACCCGCGGGCCCCTGTCCACGGCCCCGGGGCCGAAGAGGTCCTGAAGCCTCACGTCGGCGCCGTCCTCTGCCCCCTCCTGAGCGCGGAATGGCGCCGTGGCCCGGCTCCACTGCAGGATGGGGGGCACGTAGGCCTCGGGGAAGGCGAGGGGCTGCCCTGGCCCCGGGAGCTGGCCGCCATGGCGCTGCTGGGCCCAGGTCTTCAGCTGCTGTAGGTACCGCCTGGCCAGTTCTGTGCGGGGCAGGGAGATGGCATGAGGTTCGAGAGGCCTGCCCTTGCCCCCAACCTCCTCCTCCCAGGCCTGGCTGCTGAGACCCTACAGCCCAGCTGTGTATATGTGGGGGGCGGGGGGTGGCACGAGCACCCAGGGGCTCTTGTGCCCCCCAAGTCCCCAGAAGGCACTGCTCCTGCTGAAGCAGAGACTCTGGCAGCTGTTTCCCCACGTGGGGAAGTGGGGGTCACGGCTCTCTCTGTTTTGCAACAGCACGGGGGTGGGAGAGTTTTCAGTACGATGGGGAAAGGGGAGAGGGCCCTTCCTTTGCAACTTCTTCTTTCTTTTTTTTGCAACTTTCTTATCAGAACCACCTCTTCCTGCAGGATCTGAGCAATCTGTGCCCCTCCCCACCTTTCAGCTCTGTAATGCCCGGGGCAGGGGAGGGTGGGTGCTAGCAACCTGTAGGTCCGGCACTGACCAATCAGAAACTGTGGGAACTGGGCCCCCCATGGTGCCAGGTACTGGCTTGAGACTGGGGCCACTATCTGGGGCCAGCGGGAGTCCCGCTGGGGGACATGAGGTGGCCGTCTGTTTTGTATCGATGTGCTCATGGGGGTTGGGTCTCCCGCACAGCTGGTGGAAAACGAGGGATGTGCCGTCTCTCCTAGTCCCCTGGCTAGTCCTCCGCGCCCCCATGTCTCCTCCCCGTGTGTCTCGGGGCTTCCGATTTGGGGGAGTTCTCCCTGGCATCCTGTTTACCTCTAAATCGGCCCCCGAGGGCCCAGGCCCGAGGTTATGATGGTCCCTTCCCTGGGGCCCTCAACCCCGAGGACGCGGGGTGTCCCTGGAAGCAGCGAAATGCCAAAGCTGCAACCTGTCCTTCAGGGCTGCTTCCCGCTCCCTCAGCTGAGCCATCTCTGGGGGAGGCCCCGCTGGCCAGACTCCGCCCCCTCCTCTGCCCACCCAGGACCTTCCATCCTTCTTTCATGGAAGCCTGGACTACAGGGAGCCACTAAGCCCCTGGAGGCTTGTGGCCAGCGGACAGAGTCCAGGATCTGTGTCCCGGCCCCAGGGCAGCCCAGTCCCTGTGTTCAGGTCCCGCCCCACCCGGGCACCCACCGAGCTGCTGCCTCCTGAGCTGCTTCCGGCGGGGCGAGGACTCGCAGCTCTGGTGAGGCCGCTTGAGGCCTGAAAAAAACGAAGGACAGCGTAAGGGGCGAGGTTTCGGGGCCGAGGAGGGAGGTGCCCAGTATGTTGGGGAGCTCCCTTCCACACACAGGAGGCAGGCAGACACGTGGGTCCACACCCAGGGGCTGAGTGAAGGCAGCTCAGTGATCAGCGCCAGGAGGGACCGGGGACCGGGACAGACAGTCTGGATTGGTGGGGGGGCTGGGGTGACGGGTGAGATGTTTCCTGTTGGAGCTTGCCGGTGCTGCCGTGCGTGCTTCTAAGTGAAACGTCCCCCCATGGATAGAAATGAAGGCTCTGAACCCGCTGTGAGCATCGCAGACTGTGGTGAAAGACCGAAAGCTTCTCCTCTACCATCAGGAACAAGACAAGGATGCCCGCTCTCACCACCTCTATTCAACACGGTCCCGGAACTACCAGCCAGGGCCATGAGGCAAGGAAAACAAGTAAGCCGAAACTGGTGTGGCTCAGTGGATAGAGCGTTGGCTTGCGGACTGAAAGGTCCCAGGTTCTATTCCAGTCAAGGGCACGTACCTTGGTGGCGGGCACATCCCCAGTAGGGGGTGTGCAAGAGGCAGCTGATCGATGATTCTCTCTCATCGATGTTTCTAACTCTCTGTCCCTCTCTCTTCCTCTCTGTAAAAAATCAATAAAATATATATTAAAAAAGGAAAGAAAAACAAATAAAAGGCATCCTGATTGGAAAGGGGCCAGGGACACGGGCAGGTGGATCAGGGGCTGAAGGAAATGGCTGGGACCAGCCAGTGGCCTCCTTTGGGTTTGACACAGGAACCGAGGATGCTCACCACCCCCTCCTACTTCCCGACCCCAGGCCTCACCCAGGTGGAGCTGAGGTTCAGGCTGGCTTTCTGCACCCATTTCCAAAGGACCAGGAAACCCTGAGAGAGAGAGGGGAAGATATAATACACATGGGATGTGCTGGGACCAGCGCTGATGGCTGGCTCAGGGCTCACCCCAAAGGGTGGGTCCCCAGCAAGGGAGAGATCAAGTTTACCATCAGCGATCTGTGGAGGGCACAGCTTGGTGATGAGCTGAGAAGGCAGCCGGGGGCTGACATGTGTGTGTATGTGTAGGTTTGTGCATGGCCGGGTATGTGTGCGTGCACATGTCTGTAGGCATGCCTGCAGACGTGTGTGCCCATGGTAAACCCCCTGCATTTCCTGCATGCTGCCTTGTAGTGGAGGCGTAGAGAGTTCTCACTGTCTCCCCACAGCGCTGTGAAAACAGAAGGTGCCCAAGAAACGCCCCCGGACTTGACCAGGTTCAAGGTGCAACTAGCAGCACAGGTCAGAGGGCTCTCCCCCACCTGCTTCTGACCTCCTTGCAAGAAGAAAGCTCTGGGGCATGATGGGCTATTTGGCATTTCCTCGCTGTAAGGAGTCACCCAACTCTTTCTCTCCTTGCATCCTGCCTCCCTGGACAACTGGGATGGTACCTGGTGGGAGGTCCCCAGCTGATGTGGTGGCAGCAGGGAATTTGCCCTAGGACGTGTCCAGAACCATGGAGTTGTGTTCATGGCCTGAGTCAACTGTGTGACTCACGTGGGGCCCCGTCTTCCCTGGGCCCCTCTGCACTCCTTACCGTCTCCGTGGCCCCACGTGCTCATCAGCTGCACCTCCAGCTCCAGGGGCACCTCCAGCTCCATGCACACGCAGTGGATGAACGCCTTCCAGGTGGCCTGGCCTTGCCTGTGCAGCTCCCTGAGCTGTAGGAGGATCCTCTGTGCAGGGTCTGGGCCCTCGGCCCTGGAGCCCAGGTCCATGTTGGGGAGGAAGAACTTCACCTTGGCATTCAGCCATTCTGGGTGATCGCTGAGCAGACTCACGAGCCAACCCCACTGGTACTTGGTGCCCAGCTTGAAGCTAATGGGGTCCATGAGGAGCTGGCCCTGCAGGGACAGGATAAGCAAGTGAGCTAGGAGACAGGTGAGCTGGGGAGCAGGTGAGCTGGGGAGCAGGGAAGCTGGAGGGACAGGTGAACTGGGGGACAGGTGAGCTGGGGAGTAGATGAGCTGGGGGCAGGTGAGCTGGTGGGACAGGTGAATTGGGGGACAGATGAGCTGGGGGACAAGTGAACTTGGGGGGATAGGTGAGCTGGGGGCAGGTGAGCTGGGGGACAGGTGAACAGAGGATAGGTGAGCAAGGGAATAAGGCAGCTTGGGGGAAGCCAACTGAGCCTGTGTCCTGGCTCTGAAAGGGCCTCGTTCATTCCCTGTAGATGGTGCCCTAGGAATGCTTTATTCATCACCTTCCCATGGACCCTTCTGTGGTGCTCTCTGTCTGAGTTAAGCACTTGTCTCCCCAAAGTGGTCCTCCCCTTCTTCCTCTGCACTAGAACTCCTGAATATCCCCTCATCCTCTGGAATAGACTCTGTTTCCAGCCTTGCAGTCAGATGTAGCCAGGTCATTAAGTGTTGGCCAACGGGATGTAGGTGGAAGTGTTGTGTATCCTTCTTCCTGTGGTTGGAAGGATGATGTGATGGCTAAGCCATATTGGGCCATGAGGTGGACCCAAACGGGTTCGATCTACAACTACAGAGACTGGCAGTCCTCCAGGTTGTGGCTGCTGTTTTAGACGGGGCCCAGGAAAGAGGTCCCAGTGGATTCGTAATAGACAAGAACTAGAAGCAGGAAATAAACGTTTGTTCTCTTAAGACACTGGGACTTTGAGGGTTGTTTGTTACGCAGCATAAACAAGCTCGTCCTGGCTGATACACACTCACAATCAACCTTCAGCAAGTCTCTTCCCTGTCTGGGCCTCAGTTATACCCTCTATCAAATAGGTTAGATGCTATCGTAGGCCCTTGCTGATTTTGTGTCCAGTGATGTTCACTCTCGTGAATGGTGGCTAGATGTAGGTTTGTTGTATTGTGGACAGGCCCTGTGGGATGTATGCGGGAGGCAACCCATCGCTGTGTCTCTCTCACATGGATGTTTCTCTCTGTGTGTCTCTCCCCCTCCCTTCCACTCTCTCTAAAATCTGGGTAGGGAGCTGGGGGCAGGGAGATGGCATGTCCTGGCAGTGGGTGGGGGAGGAAAGGAGTGAATGGGAGGAACAGAGAGGAGGCAAAGGGGAAAGGTCACCTACTTGGCTTCCTGGTTCATCCTAGACGCTCTAGGGTGTCCGTGGAGACAGTCCGTACTGTGGTTGGAAATAAGGAAAACAAGAAATAGCCAGCTTCTCAGTGGCTAGAGCATTAGCCCTCAGACTGAAGGGTTCGATTCCGGTCAAGGGCACCTACGTCGGTTGCAGACTCCATCTCTGACCCCCCTCAGGGCATGCGCAGGAGCCAGCCTATCCATGTGTCTCTCCCACATGGATGCTTCTCTCTGTCTCTCCCCGTCCCTTCCACTCACTCTAAAAATCAATGGGAAAAAAAGAAAGTTAGAGGTACTGGGGATACTAATGACATTTCTTCAAACAAAACTGTCAAATTCTAACCAAAGAAATGGAGAGAGGCAAGAGCCCGTTGAGAGAAAGCCTTGCTTACCGCCCCATCTCGGGAGATCCTCTAGCCCCACCCTCTGGAGCCTCTGGGCGGAATCCTGAGCATCTGAGTTGTGTGGCTCTGGAGCGAGAGACGGGCACGCCCCCACATTCCCCCAACACTGACTGGCACCTCCCCTTCTCCTGACTCCCAGGGGCCCCACCCTGCTGAGCCTGGGCTCTTGGCAGACTCTGGGACAGACTGACTTTCCCCTCAAGCACACCCCACTGGCGCAGAGCCCTCCCTGCACACGGCCAAACCTTGGTCCGCTTGGACCTGATGAATCCTTCTGGCCTCCCCCTGATGGCCCCCCGAGACCCTGCCCCACCACAAAGGGGTGCAAGCACCCCGCTAGACATGGCGCACCAGGGACATTTGCTGAGCTCCCCCGGGACCCGTGCTCCTACTTATAAAAGCCAGGCTTGGTGCTCAGCTTGGTTCTCCCCATACACACCCAGGCCCAGCAGAGGCACCTGGGTGTAAACAGATATGACCTTCACCTTTCAACGGATCCCACATAACCATACCTAGCAGTTCCATGCCCCGGGATTTAGCCCGTAGGGATTTTCATAATTCATATAGTCACATATGCTCTATGTGGGTTGCTTTGTGGCTCCAAACAGGTTGTCCAGGGCCAGTCATAGGTAGAGTCTGACCTTGGCCTGCACCAGCGTCCCTCCCAAGAGACCCCAGCACTGACATACCCACCCGTCAGCTTCAGACAACATCCGAGCAGGGTCCCATCAGCTTCGCCAGTGGCATGTCCAGCTGGAGGCACGACGCCCTGCGGACGTCTTTCCCGGTGTTCCCCAGGGGCTCCCTCCTCCTCAGGGCTCCAAGGATCAAGATGTGGCCTTGAACCTGCCCGTGACTCAGGTCTGGACTCCGTCTTCCACCGCCTCCGGGGCTGCTGATGAGCTGGGGGACGGGCAGATCTGTGAAGAGAATGAGAGGGAGCACTCTATTTCTATAGGTAGGAGGATTTAGAACGCAGTCTAAGCCCTGGCTGCTTTGGCTCAGTGGACAGAGCGTCAGCCCCCAGACTAAAGGGTCCTGGGATCGATTCCCATCAAGGGCATGCACCTCCGTTGTAGGCTCCATCCCTGGCCCTGGTCGGGATGTGTGCGGGAGGCAACCCATCGCTGTGTCTCTCTCACATGGATGTTTCTCTCTGTGTGTCTCTCCCCTTCCCTTCCACTCTCTCTAAAAATCAATGGAAAAATTTCTTGGGTGAGGATTAAGAAACAAAATAAGAGGTAATTAAAATAAATAAAGAATAAAACTAAATTTAAGGTAAGTCATAAGGACCCTCAGTCTCAGTAGATCTACACCATGGAATATTATTCAGCAACAGAGGTGAGCCACAAAAACAGCAAGCCCCAATGTATATTAGTAAGTAAACTCAAATTTTAAAGGCTGCACACGTGTATGTTTTAAATGTGTGTGTCCTTGCATACACAGAGACCAGCTCTAGGGCTAGGCGAGACACGTGACAGAATGATCCCCTTATACCATATTCTTGGACCACTTTGTACCATTTGAGCTTTTTAAAAGGTGTGTTTTGATTTTAAAAAAATTTTTAAAAATATATATATATATGCTCCCAGCTGACATGGCTCAGGGGTTAAACGTTGGTCTATGAACCAGTAAGTCACAGTTTGATTCCCAGTCAGGGCACAGGCCCGGGTTGCAGGTTGGATCCCCAGTGTGGGGTGTGCAGGAGGCAGCCGATCAATGATTCTCTCTCATCATTGATGCTTCTGTCTCTCTCTCCCTTTCCTTTCCTCTCTGAAATCAATAAAAAAAAAAAAAAAATTAGAGAGAGGACAAATATATGATACCTTAATTAATAAAGAAATTTAAAAAATATATATGACTATTTACACTAAAAACTAGAGCAGACATTTCCTCAATATGTGAGGAAGAGAAATGCGTGATGATGATTAAGCACAGAAATCGCCAGCAATGCCTGAGAGAAATGAAAGTTTCCACCCAACTTGAATAGTAACTGAACGGACTTCAGAAGGCAACCAATGAGGATAAATATCCACATCAAGTCTGACTGACAGAGGCTGAAAATTCCAGTAAAAAAAAAAAAAAAAGTCATTTCTACATCTGGAGGATCTATCTTATTCAACTTTTTAGTTTACTATGTTGTGTGTGTTTTAGGGACAAAACTATGTTTTTACTAGAACTGCGGTCTCACTAGCTGAACATCTGTAATGAGTATTTGCTAAGTCCCCGGCGTGTGCTTTAGTTAGCCTTTCTATTTTAATTCTCACAATTACTACTCTTGGATGCCTCTGGTGCATCTAAAAATTTTCTGGGTCTACTTGACCAGTGTGGCTCAGTGGTTGAGCTTCAACCAATGAACCAGGAGGTCATGGTTCTATTCCTGGTTGGGCACAATCCCCAGTGGGGTAGGGGGGAGGAGAGTCAATCAGAAGGCAGCCGATCCATGATTCTCTCTCCTCATTGATGTTTCTATCTCTCTCTTCCTTTCCCTTCCTCTCTGAAATCAATAAAAACATTTTAAAATAAATAAAATATCCCATAAACATTTAAAAACATATTCTTTTTCAATAAAGAGGGATATTTTTTTGTCTCACAAATTATACCAAGATTTAAATGTAAAAAGTTAAACCATGAAAGTATTACAAGAATATCATCACTTTACAACAATTCAGTAAGCTGTATCTTTCATTTTTTTTATACATTTCCTGCATTACATTTCACAACTAAAAAGTTAAAATGTTTTAAATGCTGAAAAAGAACATGTGGAAAGGTCTTAAAAATAATGCAGAGTAGAGAAGACCTAGCCAAGCATGACAGAAAACTCAGAGATCAAAAGAAATACTGGATGAAATTGACCAGATATAAATCAGCATTTTCATATTAACGAGGAACACTCCTTTTTGGTGAAAAGACAGATGACAGACTGGAAAATAATACCTGCTGGCTATGTCACAAAGGTGTAATGTCTTAGCATATCAAGATGCACTACAAGTCAATAAGGAAAAAAGTAACAACGTGATAGAAAAGTGGGCAAAGAACATGGACCGTTTACCAGAAAAGGAAATACAAATCGATCTGCAGAGGTGAGAAGATGTTCAACCTCACAGGAAATACATGTTAACTAAAACAAAGGATAGCATTTTTCAGCCCGTCGGCTGGCGAGGATACTCCATGGGAAGGTTGTGAATTAACTGGCATTTTGAGGCGTTGCTGTAAGAGTGTAAACAGATACGACCTTCACCTTCCAACAGATCCCACATAACCACACCTAGCAGTTCCATGCCCCGGGATTTAGCCCGAAAGGGATTTTCATAATTCATATAGTCACATATGCTCTAGTATATCTGATGTGGCCTTAGTTATAATAAGAAAAG